AAAAACATTTTTAATGGAATTACAGTTGTTAAAGGGGTCATATGACGTTGCTAAAAAGAGCATTATTTTGTGTATTTGGTGTAATGAAATGTGTTTATGCGGTTTAAGGTTCAAAAAACACATTATTTTCCACATACTGTACATTATTTCTCCTCTATGCCTGCCTTTCTGAAACACGTCGATTTTTACAAAGCTCATCGGTCTGAAAAGCGAGGTGTGCTGTGATTGGCCAGCTATCCAGTGCGTTGTGATTGGTCGAATACCTCAAGCGTGTGACGGAAATGTTACACCCCTCACCAGGTTCAGGAAGCTTTCCTCCGTAAAATGCGCTGCACACACTCATTATTTGGGTTGAAGTGTTCTGGAACAGTGTTGTAAATACAACTTAACAACTGATTTCTAGTCGTAGGGGTAATGTGACGTTGGTAAAAATAACATTATTTTGTGTATTTAGTGTAATGCAATGTGTTCACGTGGTTTAAGGTTAAAAAAATACATTATTTTCCACATACAGTACATTATAGTTACTCCTCTATGCACCGCCTTTCTGAAACACGTCGATTTTTACAAAGCTCATCGTTCTGAAAAAAGTGGTGTGCTCTGATTGGCCAGCTATCCAGTGCGTTGTGATTGGCCGGATAGCTCAAGCGTGTGACAGAAATGTTATGCCCCTTACCAGGTTCAGGAAACTTTCCTCTGTAAATGTGCTGCACACACGTTATGCAAATCTTCCCACACAGTGGCGTAGACATGTGGGGGCGTCTGAACGAGGCGTTTTAGGAAGGCGTAGCTGAGCGTTCACTTTTATAAAGAATTTCTCTTTGGGTTTGAGACTTTAATCTTTGCGACTTTACGGATCTTCTGTTTGTACGAACAGCTTTTAACTCTCCAAAGACAGGAAAAAATGAAATTCCATCATATGACCCCTTTAATGAAGTCTTTGAGGAACTCTAATTGTCACGAATCCGTCACTAGAAAACTCAACCACTAAACCATCAGTTAACGCAGTGGTTCCCAAACGGGGGGCTCGGAGCTATGATAAGAGGGGCACGGCAAGCCTGAGGGATAGTGTACAGTCAGCAGATTATTTTGCAAAAGAAACCTCTGCAGGGTGATAAAGAC